CCCCCCCCCCCCAAAGTTAAATGGTCGACCCCTAAAACGACGCGATAAAAGTTGGATAAAAAGTTTTAATAGTTTCATTGTAATCGATTATTTTCTACTCAACAAGACAACAGAAGGCAAACTAAGTAAAATTATTCATTTTCCGGATCATTTTACAGCATGGACATGCTTGACAACTTGTTCATTACAACATTTCTAAAAACAATTTTGACCGAATTAAGCACAGGAATCAACCTTAAACTGCCATTTACGGTATTTTTTAAAACTTTATGTTTAAAGGACAAGTTGTACTTTATAGTATTTTATATATTCATAGGTATATTTTCGAAGAATAGCTGAATATATGTGGAGCATTTGAATTAAAACATGTAGCACTGGCCAGTGTTTTTTCGATGTTTATATTTGTTTTTTTCGCATTTTGGTCGGAGAAAAGTATATTTCGGGCTTGGCACTAAGTCCATTGAAGTAAAGTCACTGTATTTTACTATCTTTAGTATCGATAGCGTAAATTTTTCTTCTAGAAAATAACTTTTTTGGACCACGGTCAAGATATTGCAAAAAGCTGCCCGCTCCTGCAGCCAATCAGATTGCAGGAAATAAAAATATATCACTCGGCATGCGCAAATAAAAAATAACGGCTTATTAACCGAGAGTGAGGTCCGTACTGTGAAATATCAGACCGAGGTTTTTTAGTATGGACCGAGCGACGAAGGAGCGAGGTCCATGCAAAAAACAGAGGTCTGATATTTAACAGTACAGACCGAACAAGCGAGGTCAATAATCGGTTTATTATATGGCTGAACTGAGTCTGTGAGCATATGCTTTTCGCGCGAATTAAATAGGCTATCGTCAATTTCACTGAGTAACAATATACGGTAGGCATGCATGCTCAATCAAAAACAATTAATTTGGTTGTTTGAAATTTTTATCTGTAAATTTTAATGACACACAATTGGAAAATTAAAAAGCACGGACCACGGTCCGGATATGGGTTTTTACGGACCGCTTGTCAACCAATCAAAATAAAGAATTTTGAAAAGCCATATAATAATAAATTAAAAATGCTAGATGCGCGACCAGGATTCATAATGAAGTTTCTGAAACGTTCTCTGATCGTAAATTTTTATTTAATAATTATAGGATATTGGCAACAAAAAATTTTATTGCTTCGTCTGAAAGAGCATGAAAAAATAAGCCGATCGGCCGTTTAATGCTCTATTCTATCTCATCCTAGTTCAAATTTGTGCGGATTTCTATTGTTCTCAATAGGGTTTTATTTGGGTAAGATTCTTAAAGCAAGGGGAGGGATTTGATATCTCTCCAGGGAAAAGTGGGGTTGATGAATAGAATTGAATTAATAATTATAAATTCACGGGTTTTATCTATATAAAACCCGGATTTTTGCGGGTTATATATATATAAAACCCGCAAAAATCATGTTTTATATACTTAGATAAAACCTGGTGAATATTTAATCATCAATTCAATTGAATTCTATTCATCAACCCCCCTTTTCCCTATAGAGATGTCAAATTCCCTCCACTTGCTTTTAGATTCTTACCCAAATAAAACCCTATTGAAAAAAAATTTAGAATCTTTGCTTCGACAAACCCATACACATATTGTTCGTTATAGCGCTTCAACCTTCGGCCCACTCTTTCCAAATACGATCGAACTGCCCAGATGGTGTTGTGTCTTGTGCCTACAGTATATTCGGTATACGCTCAATACGCGTTTTTCAAGACTCTTTGTTTATCTCTGTCTAGTTTGAGCACTGCAAATCCCAATGGTTCGTCATTTGCTTGCAAAAATTCTCTTTCCATAAGCCTACATTTTCATCTGATTCCGGTTGCCTGGAAGCATTTTTTTCGTCGCTGCATAGGTAGTTCACGTTTCAATCTCATTTTCATATGGACCCCATGGTAACAATCGTTATTCTCTTAATTCAATGCAAGTATTTTCGACAAAAAAGTAGATTTAATTGTTTTTCAATCCTTACAAATTTGAACTAAGTCAGTTAATTACCTCGAACGTCGGTTTCTTAGCGAGATACATCCCTCGGGAGCGTTGCCCTCAGAAAGCATCCCTCGGGCCTACGGCCCTCGGGATGCTTTCTTCGGGACACGCCCCTCGGGTTGTATCTCGCTAAGAAACCTCGTTCTCGGTAATTAACTCTTACTAGTTCGGAAGTTATACGCAAAAATGTGCAAAATATAAGTTGCTGATTCAGCACAACGTGTGACGTCATTGGTTGGGTAAGTATGTTTAATGAATACTAAACTGAAGCATAGCTCAGTTATTATTTGTCCAAATCAAACGAAATTTTGCATACTGATTGTACATGAGGAGACGCATTGAAAAACACTTTTAATTTTGTTGCTAAGGTAACAATGTCATTTCCAGGCCCCTTGCGCCAATTTTATAAAACAGCTTCATTCATGGTACTTATAAGAATAAAATAATATCAGAAGTATGTGTACCATACCTATGCATGCCGAAAGTTTACTTGAATGATAATAATTCGAAAATGACATACACATAGATAAATGCAACTAGTTATTCAAAATCAGAGTAAGGGTCCTGGGAACGACTGTGTTGCCTTGACAACAAAATTAGAAGTATTTTCCCATGCGTCTCATCATGTACTATCTGTATGCAAAATTTCATTTGATTTGAGCCGATACTAACTGAGCAATGCTTCAGTTTACTATTCAATAAACATACTTACCCAACCAATGACGTCACACGTTGTGCTGAATCAGCAATTTATATTTTGCACATTTTTGCGTATAACTTCCGAACTAGATGAGATAGAATAGAGCAGTAAACGGCCAATGGGCTTATTTTTTCGTGCTCTTTCAGATAAAGCAATAAAAAAAATTTATTGCCAATGTCCTTTAATTAAAACACGAGCTTTTGACTGCCAGTCTGCAGTTTTCGACAGGTAAAGTGATATTAAATCATATAAACTATTCTACGGATATAGCTACAAGGACAGTGGTGTACAATTACAATTATAACTAGAAATTACCATCGCAAGGAAATGCTGCTTCACCAGTAAAGGGATCAAAGGCAGCATGTGCAATTTGGCGAATAAGGGACTGTTTAGTTTATATGATCCCGCTTTCGGCTTTGCCAGGACGAGATGCCGGTTTGGCGAGATGATTTCGATGTATTGAAAGAAGTCACAGTGCACAATTCAGCAAAAAACGTCATTATTTTCTGGAGATATAATCTATAGTTAACTGTAAACGAATGGTTCAAACAGCAATAATAATCTTCTTGAACTACGAAGATCTTCTCTACAGTTCTGTTAATCAGCGTTTGAACAGCCCCTAAACGCCTTTTCAGCAAGTAGGAAAAGTGCAATTTGGATATCAAACACCTTGCACAAATGAAGTCAAAGTTCAGATAAATATTCTAATTCTACTTTCTATAGCTAGGCAGTATAGTTTTATATACTATTATATAATTATATTATTATTATTATAATTATATTATATTACTATTATTATTATATTATTGTTTTATATAGTTTTATATTTATTTTTTGTGTAGTTTTATATGAATACCATCAATGCTTATAATTTCTTGCTTTTGTATGTCTAATTCATACTTGTCCAATATTAAGATATGTAACGCATGGTAAAAGTGTTTTACGATCGGTGAATTTAGTAAATTAGATGCCAATATCTGGCTTACCCACTACCTGTGGTGTACAGAGAAACATAACATGATATCATTTTCATCAATGCGTCTGAACACAGTTTATAGTTCTACCATCGGTACACTTTGTACCAATCTCTCTCGTTTCAGAAAGACAAACATTTTATAATCAAAACAAATACATAGCGCGCAAATTACAACAAATATTATACAATACTTTATCGTGTTGTCTAGTTCTTTAAGAACCTTATTGAAAACGAATCACATAGCGCGCAAATTACAATAATTTATAAAATTATTGTATCGTTCTTTAAAAACGTTATTGAAAACGAATACATAGCGCGCAAATTACATGCGCAACAAACATCATATAATTTATTTGTAATATTGTATCGTTCTTCAAAAACCTTATTCAAAACGAATACAAAGCGCGCAAATTACAACAAAACATACAATAATTTATCTTATTGCCTTGTTCTTTGATATCCTTTAAACATTCAAAACGAATACATAGCGCGCAAATTACAACAAACATCATACAATAATCATAGGGAACCCAAGCGTTGATTTGTGACGTCGATTTATTTTAGTGCCGCTTTATATTGCCTTTTAATTGAATTATAACACTAATATGTCATATAATAATAATAATACTCCTATAGTCGAACATATAATAACAACATAAAGTCGATTTGTATGTTTTTCAGTTTATTTATTTAAGATCTATTATTAGCTTATATAAAAGCACCGCCTTTCGAACCTGACAGCCCGTTCGCAGGATACGCGCGTTATTTCGCACTGAAATAAGAAATGTGACAAGGGATGAAATTACAATACGGCGATGTTTTATTTTGAAGCCGTATGTGCTTGTTAAAACGAATTTTAGCTTGAAATTCGGCCACATGATATGTCTAAGGCTAAAGTACATAGGTTAAATTATGTACTATTTAACAATTCATGTATCGCAGAATTATGTAAATAACTTTCTCAAGAGAAATACGAAGAAATACAACTATTTGCACCATTGCCATTGGGGATAAATTTTAAAATTATTATGTAAGTATTAAAGAAAAATAGTGCAGTGTAATATTATAGAAATTGTTTTGTTTAATTACAGTACGTAAATAATCGACATTGTTTTATGTATCGAGTGGTCGAGGAATATCATATTACACTGTTTATATATAGCTTTTTACTTTTAATACACACAGGTCTTTGAATGTGGATCAACAACAAGCGTTTGATGTCGTTTTGAAAGGTCATAATGCTTTTGTGACTGGCAAAGCTGGCGCAGGGAAAACGTTTTTGTTGTCACATATTTATGACTTTCTTAAAGCGAGCAAAAAAATTTTTGTCACATGCACTACAGGAATTGCGTGCAAGAATCTTCCAAGTTACTTTCAACCAACAACATTACATTCATTCGCCGGCATTAAAGAATGCAGAAGTTCATCTTACACGCTACTAGAGCAAGTAAAACGTAACAGCGACGCTATTGAACGATGGAAAAATGTTGATGTCCAGATTATTGACGAGGTTTCTATGTTGAGCAAGAAGGTATTTGACTCAATTGAATTTATAGGAAGAAAATTACGAGAAAACACGTATCATTTTGGTGGAATTCAGCTCATAGCATCTGGAGAATTTTACCAGCTCCCTCCGGTACCAAACCCAATGAATGACGACGCAGGAGGTTTTGCTTTTACGAGTTGCGTGTGGGACAAAGTATTCCCTCATAATTTTATTATGGATAAAATAGAGAGACAGCATGATGACGAATTTATTTCATTTCTAAATGAAATAAGAATTGGTCGCTGCAGCTCTAAAAGCAGAGAATTTGCAAAAACAATGGCAAGGCCTGTTGATCCAAAAAGCTTTGGGGTAGACCATGTTGTTAGAATATATCAACTCAATGACGATGTTGATTATTATAACTTTGAGAAATTGGAAACTCTTCCTGGTGAAATGTATGTAAGAAAGGCATGTGATATTGGGAATAAAAATGTCTTAAACAGGTACAATATTAAATATTGCAAGT